ATCCTCCTCTCTCCCCCAGAGAGAAATTAAGTTATTACAAGAGACAGCGAGTTGTAAAACAAGTTTTACAGTATGAACTGCAAAATGTCTGCAAAAATCACAAGTTAAGTAAATCTGAGGGCCTAAAGATTAAATTGAGTTATACTCGTAGATGGTTACTACTTAAAAAGCTTCATAAAATTTTAGCATGTAGAACAGGCAGGTTGATATGGAATCTGAGATGTTCTGGATCAATTCAAGTCTCTGGGCAGAGATGCAATGAAACTCGTGGAACCAAAGTCATAGGATTTTTATTCTGGTCTCTGTTGTTGTTTAAGCTCAGCATCTTTATTCCGACAAAGGTGGTTCTCCCAGTGTCTGCCAGGACTACGTTATTGGTAAGAGTCTCAAGGGAGAATAGACCAGGATCTTTTCTGTTGTGCCCTCAGCTGCTAGGTCAAGAGGTGGAGATGCTGCAGTGCTGAGTCCGGCCGTGGTGGCTTGCTGCTCACTCCCTTTCCCGCGCTGCACCCCAGATGCTCTTGCATGTGTAGCCAGAGATGGGAGGGTAGAGAGGCTCTTCTGACAGAGGAACAGGAGCAGGTTGGATGGGTTTCAGCCAGCACGGACCTGGGCTCAGATCCTTGCAGGCTTTCCTTGAGTAGGACTGCGATTCTTCCTTTACCCTGGGGCTTGTGCAGATTTCCAGGCTCACCATGGCATGAGCTCCAGGGCACGAGGGACTGAAGCAGCTGCTGACATCTACCGGGAAGCTTTGGCTCCCTTTCAGTGCTGCTGCTACGTGGGCTTGGGGTAAGGCCAGCTGCCCTGCTTGGCACCTGCAGGAATGAGACGAGGGAGGCAGTGGGTCAAGCGGGGGAGACTCCAGCTGGGAACAGAAGGGAGGCAGCAGGGCAGGGCTGTGCCACCAGCTCCGGGACATGGGAGACGATCTGGCTGGGACAGGGCACGGTGAGGGTTTAACACCTCGGCAGCACAGGGTCCTGCAGGGGCATGGCTAATGCAGCAGGGCAGGGTGGGTTCCTTGTACCCCTGCGGTTTGCTGTCCTGGCTACAAATTTCTGCTGTGCTTTTCCTCCCCGGCCAGGTACCCTGCAGAAGAAGCTGCTGCATCGGTTCACAGCTGTGGCCAAGCCTGGGCCCTTTCCCGCTGCTCTCTGCTACGGAGCCAGCCAGCCAGGGGGTGATCCTTGCCACCCAGACCAGATGAGTATGCTTTTCCACGCAGAATCTGTCACCCCTGCAGCTGCACGCAGCTGGGGGTTTGGGTGTCCAGGTCCAGTGGCCTGTTTCCTTTAAGTGCCTGATCCTAAATCCATTGCTGATTCCTGTTGAGAGCAATGGACTGTCATTCTGGCCTGTACTTCATCCTTACCTCAGAGAAGCAAAACCTTTGGGCTAGTGATGTGCTGTTTCTCACGGAGACCCTGTTCAGAAGCATAACAGCCACTGCAATAGAAACACCCATGCTGTTGTCCAGCCATGCTGCTCTTAACCCTTGGAAGATGCGGCCGTCCCTGGAATACGCCGTAGTGCACAACTGGAATACGTGGCCCTAGTGCAATGCTAGCCAAGACGGAGGGCATGATTCCTAGGTGCACAGGGAGCAGGAGGGGGCATCCCCTGGGCCTGAAGCACCAGGGAGACTGCAATTGGATGTGCTCTGGTGAAAAAAGAGATTAGGATGACAGAAGGTGTTCCAAAAAAAGTCATCACAGGATTCACAATCCTGAAAACCTGCCTGACAGCGAGAGACATAAAATGCTCGATCTATGTTGTTTATCCTGGAGCAGGTTGAGAGAGGATTTGATCGGGGTCTACCTGGGGGAGGGATTTCTCAGAGCAGGTGGCTCATTCAGCCGGCAGAAAGCCAGGCACATTTATAGAAGAGGTGTGCGTTTTTAAGTGAGGTTAATTAACCAGTGTAGTAACTTACCCAGGGACGTGATGGGTTCTTCATGTAACATCTATAAAGCCAGCTTGGTTATCACCGACTTCAATGGGCGTCGTGTCAGGCTGCTCACAGCTTGCTGAGATGTAGCAAGCCAGAAAGCTCGGTGCTGGGCTCTCCCCTATTTCAGTCTCCAGAGTCACTGCAGGGACTGAGGTTGCAGGATGGCGTTTTATCTTTTGAATCGAGATGCCTGTTCGTTACGGGCTGCGCACGCTAATTAGCGTTGCTCACACAAAGTGGGAAGCCCTTAGACTTTCCGGGAAGTTAATAGCGCCAGGATTTGAGAGGTAACATCAGCGTCTGCAGAATTTACCCAAGCTAATTTATGTTCTGTTTGCAACCAAAGGAAAAGCGCTTAGATGTTTGACATCATAAAACAGTAAAAGCGCAGATTTATTACAGTAACAAAGAGAACAGGGCCCTCAAGTTGCTTTGTTTACCATAAAACGTCCGATTAATCAGACATGCACATGTGTCGCACATATTTTTTTGCTTTAGTTTCCCTCGTGCGCTGCTCGTTGACAGGAATCATAATATACTGAAAGGCAGAGGAGCCATAGCAGAAATGCCCTAGGCGATATGGTGCAGGGATTATATCTTACATCCAAGGACTATTTCTCTCCTTCTTGAGCAGCCAGTAATGGAAAAGAAACGTATGCAGTCAAAACTCTCAGTGAAATCATAACTTTGCCCTGGGAAAAAAACCTAGTCAAATGATAGAAAATGATTGTAGTGTAATCCAGCTGGTAGCTCACCAGTCTGGTGGTTCAGAAACATTTGTGTCACCAGCTCATAAAGATGCCTTCCTAAAAGGAGGGCATCGCCCTGCCTTGGCTCTGATGACAACTGCAGAGAGAAAAATACAATTAGAGGAAATTCTCCTTTTAGCCCAGGGGTTTTTTTTGGTTTCGTTTTTTTTTTCACTGGAGAAGATGCGTAACCAGAAGACAATCCATGCCCTACGCAGATGAAATGAAGAGCCTGTTGCTTTTGGGTTGAAATGGGAGAAGGACAAAGGTACATAATAATGCTCAGCACCCAAGGGAAAGGCCCATGTCACGTGTAACAGCCAGAGATGGGCGCTGGATGGGAGAGGCTCTACCTAGCTGTGCTGGGACTGACCCAGTTGTTGAGTCTCGGAGCTATTTGCTGGGCCCAAGCCCCCAAAGGCAACCTTTCCATTGGGAGAAAGGCAGGTTTGGAGTAGAGGGGCTAACTGGAGCTAATTAACCTCAGCTGAGGGTGGTTAGTTTGTGCAATTACTGCACCTGGTGCCTCCCTCTGTGGTGTGGGAGGTAGCAGTTATGCTGGTGGGGCTTGTCCAAAGTTTTCAAGCACTGGGCTAGCTGCAGGTATTGCTGCTAAAGCCTCTGCACCTTCCAGGGGGCTGTGGTGCTGGCCAGGAGGGAAGTTGCAGGATCTGCCTGTGAGTACCAGAAAGCTGTGTCCCCTTAAGCTGGGACAAAGGGAGGGGGTTTTAATGCTGGAGCAGGACCGAATCCTCCCTTGGATGCTGCCCTGCTTCCTCTTTTCAAACACAAATCCATGTGCTACACGTCCTTTCCTCTGCTGCGTGTGCACGCCAGACCGGAGCCCAGCAAAGCTTCCCAAAGAAGGGAGATACGCTCCGGTCCAGAGAGACTGCGGTGGTGTTTGTACCGTGAGGGAGAAGGAGAGAGCGTGCCTGGGACCCAGACAGGGCTGTGGGGATGCATCTGCTATCAATTGTGAGGGGCTCAGCTAGTGCTTGGCCTGCCCTACTGGACCGAGGTTCATGATGCCCCAGCAAAGTGGAAGCGACTGGCATGGTGCACATGGTGTATACCCCCTCCCTGCCATTCCTGGGAGGAGAAACAGCCCTCGCTGTGTACGCTTGGGACTGGCTGTGCTTTGCAACGTGGCTGCTGTCCCTGGGGGGATGGACCATTATAGGGGTGCCCAAAGTTTTATCCCTGCAGGGCTATTTCAAAGGGGTGGCAGGCTGCCTTTGGCCTGTGGACTACTAGGTCCTGGTTGGAGGAGAGAGGAGGGACCATCCTCATCCCTGACTTGCAGATCCAAACAAATTTAATGCCTTCTGGGCAGGGGAAGTCTTGTGTCCTGCAGCAGAGGGGAGCAGGGCAGCTTTGGGCACCCGTCTGTGTCACTAATGGGTGACAGCTGAGCTGTTTTTTTATCAATTAAAAAAAAAGACCCTCATGGAGCTGCCCGAGTGAAACTTGGGAGAGTCCTTCTACGTTTCGGAGATGCTGGATGTGCCGTAGAGCCTGTTGCTACCTGTTGGACTCCTTTGCTTTCCCTCTTCCCTCCGTTGCAAACCCCGTGGCCTGTCTTTTGGGGGAAGTTGTCCCGTGTCTACATTTGCAGTCCTGGCTATGGACTGCACTGCTGCTGTTGGGAAGGGAGGCACTGGAGGTACGTAGGACCCGGTCGCGTGCAGTAGCGATGCCTGGGGAGCGGCGTGGTCCAGGGGAAAGTCCATTCAGTTGGTATCTAATGCCCTGAACTTCAGAAGGCCAGGACAGAGATGCATCCCACCAGACGGTGGGCAGCATTGTTGCAGCTCCGGCAAAGCTGTCTCTGCACAAAGGCAGGGAGAGGATGCTGCGGCTCGGCAGAGAGCAGCTGTATAAACTGCCGTGCAAATGAGACGGCGCTCTGTACTGCACATGCCCTTAATGACAGCATCCTCATTAACATATTGCCATGCGGGATAACTTCCAGCACTCCACATCATTAAGAACTTTAAACGACTGTGCCGGCATGTTGCGTCTAATTCTCTTTGCCCTCTGATTAGAAATGTCCAAGCTTCAGAACTGCTAACGCCAGATAGAAAATAGCAAGCGGGTCGTTACCTAATTAGAATCTACTTCACAATCTTGCCATGGGGCTTGTTGAGCTGGCCTTTTTATTTCCCCCTACTTTGTGCTCTGAATGACTCTGAAGTTTCCCTCTGCTCTCCCCCTTAATGAGTTGTGCTGTGGTGAACTAAATGAGATGCTGTGCTCCTGGAGATGTCGCATTTGAAAGGTTTTAATGGCCACAGTAAGAATGAAAAACCTATTAGCATGTTTTCTATTAATTATTTAATTGTTGTTTTGTTACTTGCATGAAATGGGAGAGCGCAACCGCAGCATAACAGACTTGCAAGCGCTAAATAACTTCCCTTTACAACCACGGGGACCTAATGGCTATAAAATCTTTACTGTTTGCAGTACTAGCCTCTGAAGCTCGAAACAAAGTTCCTTCCTCTTGCACCTATTCCTTTGCCAAAGGCTTAGCTTTTATTAATGGAGCAGAAACGTACACAGTCGGAGGAAGCCTGAGCGTACCAAGCGGGCCTTAATGGATTTCCCACAGAATGAATGGTTTCTGTAACAGGGTTTTTGTCCCCCCTCTGGGGTTGGGGACTGATTTGCAGTCCTTGCTTGGGAGATAGTCCCAATAGCAGTGGGAGTGTGGAGGTCCTCCACACTTTATTGGCACATGTCAAAACTCTAGCAGGCTTTTAATCTGCTCAGATCATGTTAGTTCAAAAGAGGGGGGTAGAAAGCAAACGCACCCCAAAATACCCCCTCTGCCCCATAAACAAGCCCATTCTACACACCGAGAGAGAATCATACAGGATAGAAATGGGCAAAAACTGATTACTTCGGGGTAAGAAAACTCAAGTCAGACTGTTGCTGGACTTGACTTCTAATTCACCAGTCTACGCCCCACCTGAAGGAAAGGCGGTAGCGGGTTTGGGCTAGGGAATTTGGTTGTCCTTGCCTCCCTGGTGCAGGTGCCACCACATTGGAGATGTGCGGGATGTGTTCTTGGAGCGGGGCTCACGGGTGGACACCCTGCCGGGGGCACGAGGGCAAGGCTTCTCTTCTGGACCCGGGCCCGGTGTAGGCAGGTGACGGGCACCCTGCTGCAAAGGAGGCTTTTGGGGGGCCTGTGTAGAAGCAGAGCTTCAGGTCTCTGGGGACTTGGGTTTCAAAACCCAAGGTGCTCAGGATAGGGTTGCACTGGCCTCCAAGCTCGGAGGTGCTTGGGATGGGATGGGGTTGCATTGCCCACCAAGCTCGGAGGTGCTCGGGATGGGATGGGGTTGCACTGCCCACCAAGCTTGGAGGTGCTCGGGATGGGATGGGGTTGCATTGCCCACCAAGTTCGGAGGTGCTTGGGATGGGATGGGGTTGCACCGGGCACCAAGCTCGGAGGTGTTCGGGATGGGATGAGATGGGATTGCACTGGTCACCTTGGGAGACAACCTGTGGGGTTGCATTGCCCACCAAGTTCGGAGGTGCTCGGGATGGGATGGGGTTGCATTGCCCACCAAGTTCGGAGGTGCTCGGGATGGGATGGGGTTGCATTGCCCACCAAGTTCGGAGGTGCTCGGGATGGGATGGGGTTGCATTGCCCACCAAGTTCGGAGGTGCTCGGGATGGGATGGGGTTGCATTGCCCACCAAGTTCGGAGGTGCTCGGGATGGGATGGGGTTGCATTGCCCACCAAGTTCGGAGGTGCTCGGGATGGGATGGGGTTGCATTGCCCACCAAGTTCGGAGGTGCTCGGGATGGGATGGGGTTGCATTGCCCACCAAGTTCGGAGGTGCTCGGGATGGGATGGGGTTGCATTGCCCACCAAGTTCGGAGGTGCTCGGGATGGGATGGGGTTGCATTGCCCACCAAGTTCGGAGGTGCTCGGGATGGGATGGGGTTGCATTGCCCACCAAGTTCGGAGGTGCTCGGGATGGGATGGGGTTGCATTGCCCACCAAGTTCGGAGGTGCTCGGGATGGGATGGGGTTGCATTGCCCACCAAGTTCGGAGGTGCTCGGGATGGGATGGGGTTGCATTGCCCACCAAGTTCGGAGGTGCTCGGGATGGGATGGGGTTGCATTGCCCACCAAGTTCGGAGGTGCTCGGGATGGGATGGGGTTGCATTGCCCACCAAGTTCGGAGGTGCTCGGGATGGGATGGGGTTGCATTGCCCACCAAGTTGGGAGGTGCTTGGGATGGGATGGGGTTGCACCGGGCACCAAGCTCGGAGGTGCTCGGGATGGGATGAGATGGGGTTGCACTGGTCACCTTGGGAGACAACCTCATAAATAATTTACCTTAAACTTCATTTCCTGTATTCTTCGTGCCCTGGTACCTCACTGGTTATCAAAGCAGTGTGCAAAACCAGTAAGCCCCACCGTTGTTCATGGTTTGAGAGAGAAGCTTTTCCAGCTGGGAGTTTTCCATTACGTGGCTGGTTCCATGTTTTGGATTTTGTATGACATATATTTTTAACTACTAGTCTGTTTTGTATAAACCTTCCAGAGATTACGGAGGATGAATCAACTCCTAACATCTCTTGATCATATTTTATGGCTTCTGTGACTTATAGGTGTAATCTTGTCTCCCTTGCATACTTGATATATTAGAGGAATTCCCTATGGTGGTTAATCTCAATTCTATACCTTTCAAAAAAATTAAAATATCTTTAAAGCGGGGTTGGTAAAAAGGTAACTCTTACAGCCAATCTTCAGCTCCAATTGCTCCTGCTGGGGAAGTCATAATGATGAATTTGTGACATAATTTCTACGGCAACATGCTGTGATTTCATAAACGTGGGATGATGATTATAGTGCAGGATCAAGGTGAAGCTGGATTGTGATGGAAAAAAGCCCCTATTCAAATGCAAATTTTTCAATAATAGCAGAGGGGATACCAGAAATTACTGGCAATTTATTTTATTTGGGATTAAGCTCCTCATTCAGTTTTCTCCATTCGGGAAAATAACTCTTTTAAAGCAGAGCAGCAAAGAAATGGTGGGGGAGGGGAAGAGGAAGTGAAGAAACCCCCTCTCTTGTCTCGAGAGAATAAAATTGATTAGTTTATTAATTAATCGGTTAGAGTAATGGATGACAATGCTTTGTATTTCTACAGCTACTCTTATCCGAGAGTCTTAGTCCTTCAAAAATCTTAAATCAATTAAGTCTCCAGCACCCTGTGTGGTGAATCCAGCCCCATTTCCCAGGTGGAGGAAGAGGTGGGAAGAAGGCCTGGGGGTTAAGTGATATGCCCAAGGACAGACGGCAGTCGGTGTCCCCATCCCTACCATGAATCAAAATGGGACAGAATAAAAGAAACCTCATTGTCTTTAGGCCTCTTTGGTTTGCGAGCCAGCCACTGATTTGGTTGCTCCTTAGACATTCGCAGTGGAATTAGGAGTGGGGATTTTTGTTGCTGTTCCAAATAGCTCGGATTTTAAAGTGTTTAGCCCAGGATTCAACTAATTGCTCCTGCTCACCGCCGTTCCCAAACCATTTCGCTTGCATCTGTTAACCCTGCGAGGGATACGTCTGAACCAGTTGCCAGATGGTCTTTTGGATTCGAGTGGCCATTAGCCAAGCGGCTGCCAGTTGGCTGGTTGCAGAGAGATCGTTAAG